TAGTTTCAATATACTTTAAATTTCGGGTGGTATTATTATCACCTTTAATATTATTATCTTCTCAAATTTGTTGGTTTTAAGGATTTTCATGGGGTATTACATTTCTTCTCCCTTTTATCTAATTCCCTTCAATCCTTCTCTCTTGAAATTTTCCATCTCAGCTGAACATCCAATATCAACGTAGATTTTCCCTTCTTGTTTTCATGCATCAATCTTCCCCCTTTTCTCGTCCAGTCTAATTTCCTCCCGTTTGATTCCGTGATGAGGCAGGTAAGACGAACACCTCAGTATCCGTTCGATTCCGTGATTGAGTCGAACTCGCGATGAACGAAGCCGCGTCGAACGAAACCGGAACACTTTTTATTTCCGCGGATTGCTTGAGCTTTCCTCCGCGCCCCTCCTATCCTTAATATCAGGAAATGGTTGTTTGGTTATGCATTTCCCCTCTCCGTCCCCGCTTCCTATTCTGTATCTTTCTCCTGTACCATTACCATGCACCCTAGATCCCTATACATTGATTACAACTAGTGCACCTTCATTTCCCCGAGGGAGCGCTACCGAGTGTCTTTCCCCTCTCCCCCTGTTTGGCGATTATTGTCAAAATATTCGTGAACAACTTTAACTCTCAAGCGATCCACTTCCGTCATTCTATTGGCCGATCTTACGTTCTTACGATCATTTACTATTGTTGGTTTAAATAGCTTAAAGAAAAAGGAAAAAGGAAAGAAAGAAGGAAAAAAAATACGTGTTGATATATTTTCTTAAGTCGTGTAAGTTCATGTATTATTTAATGGTTTTTTGGTGATTAAATAGGATATGTTTCAGTCGATGTTTTCGTAAACGTAGGTTAATGTATCATGCAGCGTAATTTCGTGATTGTCGTGGAAGTACAAATGTTTGTTCAGCGAATATCAAGGCTCCATGGCTGAAGTTTACACATGATGCCTGAATATCCGCTGGCTCGAGAATTTAGCGTGAAACGTCCGTTGTCCCATGATTAAAAAAAATGAAAAAGAGAAGAAAAATAAAATAAAATAAATTAAATTAAATTAAATTAAATTAAAAGAAAAGAAAAGAAAAGAAAAGAAAAGAAAAGAAAAGAAAAGGAAAGGTAAGGAAAGAAAAGAAAAAAAATATATACATATATATATATATATATATATATATATATATATATATATATATATATATATATATACAGTTCTCATATAGTGCCGACGAATACTTGACGACCATGAAATCGCTCGTGACACTATAAAAGGAACACATTTTATTAATCACAACGAATTCTCTGAAACTATCAACAAGCCAGGGGTCACTGGGACACGGAAATACAGGTTGAAAAATCATTGATATTGATTTCCGTTGTTAATAGAAATAATTACATAGATTTCTATATCATTATAAATATCGTCATTACATTATCAGCCTTATAGTAATGACAACAATGTCAACAGCAGTGACAACGGTATTAATGAACAGAGTAATAATGATAAAAAAAAGTGTGTAAAAGTGTACATTGTGGCACACAGGACCCCCAACAAAAGCCTCGGCGTCTCAGTAACAACAGTAAAAAAAAAAAAGAAAAAAAGAAAAAAAAAATCTATACATATAACGAAAAGAAAGAAAAAAACAAAAAGAAAACAGAAAGAGACAGAGAGAGAGAGAGAGAGAGAGAAAAAAAAAAAAAAAACAGAAGATACCATTGATACCAAGGTCCCGATTATAATGTTTTTGTTTTGGTCGCCTCTGGGCCCTCACGGTTTTCGAAAGTGAAAGTGGTTATCACTGGAGACGCTAAGACTCGAAGGAAAAAAGAAAAAGAAAAAAAAACTTGTCTTTTTCCCTTAAGTTCATAAGAGTTTTCTCAAGAAGATCAACTTTTGTGAGGTTTAATTATAGCTTCTTTTGTGGCTTATCACGTTCGGGTTTATCTATTCTTCCGGCAAACTCTTAAGTGCTAAGAGTTATCAAAAGATTGTGTTTTCCCATCTGCACTTCTTGTCTTCATTCTACCGAAGAAAGAAAGAAAGAAGGAAAGGATAATGAAAAGTTCTTTCAGTAGAAGAAAGAAGGAAGGAAGGAAAATTTTAAAAAATATGAAAGAAAAAAAAAAGTTCTTTCAATCGAAGAAATAAAGAAAGAATGAAAAAATAAATAAATAAAGATGATGCTCTTTTAATCAAAGAAAGAAAGAAACAAGGAAGGAAAATTAAACAAATTGAATAAAAAAAGTTCTTTCCATCGAAGAAAGAAAGAAAATAATAATGAAAAAAAAGAAATAGAAAAGTTATTTTAATCGAAGAAAGAAAAAAAGAAAGAATGAATGAAAAGATGAAAAAAGTATCCTCTTTCAATCGAAGAAATGGAGAAGGAAAGAAGAAAATAATGGAGGAATAAAGAAAAAAATGCTCTTTTAATCGAAGAAAGACAGAAAGAAATAAGGAAAGAAAAAAAAATATTACGGAGAAAAAGAAAATAAAAAGATGATGCTCTTTCACCTGAATGAAATAAATAAATAATAAAGAAGCAAAGAAAAAAAAATAATAAAAACGAATGGAACAAAAATGAGATGATGATGAAAACAGGAAAAGCAGGAAAAAAAAGCAAGCAAGACATCAAAATAGATTTCCTTCCGCACAGAGAGAGACACTACATGAATCATTGAGTGGAAAAGTAAACCCTAATGAGACCGCTGAAAGATATATAGCTTTTCGTACTTTTAATCCGGGATGAAATATCCTTTCGTAGAATTTCGAACTATAATTCAGAAGTCAAATACTGCTTTCATTATTTGCCTAGAGAAAAAAATTCTTCGAATGCCTCAGTGATGATCATTTCCCTTTGTCTTGCATCCCTGTAGGAAACGCAAATCGCATGAAAATGTGTTTTCTTCTTTTTTCTTCGCCTCTTTGTTCTCTCTCTTCGTTTTTTCCTTTTTTTTCTCTCTTCTTCACTTTTTTCTTCTTCTTCGTTTTTTTTTTCTTTTCTTTCTTCTTCGTCTTTTTCTTCTCTTTCTTCTTCTTCATTTTCTTCTCTTTCTTCTTTGTCTTTTTCTTCTCTTTCTTCTTCGTCTTTTCCTTCTTCCTCTTCGTCTTTTCCTTCTCTCTCTGATCCGTGTTTTCCTTCTCTCGCTCTTCTTCGACCCTTTCTTCTCTTTATTCTTCATTTCCTTTTCGTTCTTCTGCATCATCTTCATCAACATTAAAATTGCTCGTGGTTACTATAACAAAATCAAAGATGAGAAAAGTAAAATATTCCTATAATCGCAGTTTACGAAGGCGACATGCAAAGAAAAAAACAAACTCCTAAGTTATCCATTTATTAAGTTATCCATCAACTGACCCAAAAGTAAACATAACAGTATCACGCTTTCAATCAAAATGAAGTTATTGGTGAACGCCGATGGGTTATTTGCCTCATAAATTATATGCTGATTTATGAAGTTTCTCCGGAAATATGTATCAAGAATGATTCAGCTCTGATGAAGTTATGCATCCATATATCTGTGTCATGAAGTTTGATACTGAAAGCCTTAAATACATTAAATTGTGTTTAGTAAAAGGTTCTGCAGAAAAAGGTGTGAACAAAAAAAAAGAAAAAAAGAAAAAAATTGTTTCCGACTTTAAGGAAATGGAGAGAAAATGCGGCATATCACTTCGGTAACCGGTTGAACATGGGAATATATTTATTTTTCAAGGTTAACTTCCAACAAGGCAAGTCAGCAGGACCTACGGGGTGGGAGGGAGAGAGGGGGAGGGGGGGACTGGTCCTTTACCAAAGTGAGGCATAAACGACCCAATTTTCCCGGAGATCCTTCTTTCGCCGTTCGCCTGTTGGTCTCCTTCCGACTGACTTGCTGGCGTTGGAATGCTTCTTCTGGAATGGAAAAACACATCTATTGCCTGCTACTGTCATGGGTAGGTGGGTGGTGGGAGAGGGGAGGGAGGGAGGGGCTATTTTCGTAATTCGTAATTTGAGTATCATGAAGGAGCAATTTCAAATATTTTTTTTCCCCTGCTAGGTCATTTACCTGTAAAAAAAAAAAGAAGCGGAAAACAGAGCTCGCGAAAGTTGAGCCAGATCGCGGTGACATCCATGTTCGAAAAGAGCGCAAAGACAGAATTGATATTTACCGTTTCTTGTTTTATCGAACACTCGGCTCGGACAAGACATGCGAGCAGTGCAACATGAACTGGCAAGTTGTAACAACCTATTCCCTCCACGCTCTCCTCCCCTTCCCCGTCCGCTTCCCCAGTGGCGCGGTGGTGCCAGGTGCTCGATTATTCTCGCCAGGAAGGACGGTCAAAGGCTGGGTGCAAGGTCCTGGCGGCGCAGTGCGGGTCCCGCCGCTGACGAGGAAGGTTAGCTAACGTGTGTGTTGGACAGACCGGCTCTTGGGTGACAGCTGAGCATCGGAGTTTTTACGTCTTACCGCTTTTATTTTTTGTTTTTGTTTTTTATTCTCTTTTTTTTATGCAGTCTAGTTCGCGATTATTTCGGTGGTTCTTTTCTCTGTGACTGTTTATTTTCTCTCTTTTTCTGCGACGTGAAATATGTTATTGTGACTGTCATGTGCGTCAATACATCGGAGAACAGAAAGTTTGGTATTTGAAAACTTCGGAAAACAGTCACACAGGTGTTGCAGCGCTGACTCTAACTTAACTTTGAGGAAACAAGGCGACCCACGGATTTTAAGATAAAGGAAGCTGTTTTATTAGTCTTTTGTGAATCCTTTGTATCATTCATTATATATGTATATTATTCCCCATTTACGCACGCCGGACTTCTTAAGCATCAAGCAGTTTGTTTTTATTCGTGACAACTTGTATTCTTAGATTTATAATATCATACCTTAGGGAATCCCTAGTCTAAAAAAATATTTATAATCTATATAAACATCTGCAATTGCTTACCATATATTGCTAAAAAAATAATGTTAATTATATGCCTCAGATACTCATCAATAATTCATGAATTCATTCGTCTTAAAGCTTTAGCCCGAGACGAACCCATCGAAGCTTAAAGAAAGGAAAGCTTATCACTACCTCACCGTAGCTCGCAGACGCGGAGCACAGTGCACACAGAATGGTCATGTAACTATAACCAGTGACATCTCCCTCGTCAAACGCAAGCACGAAAAAAAAAAATCCTATAAAGAACTTCGCTTGCCATGCCCAAGTCCAGGAAGGCATGGCAGGAAATGTCGGCCAGGGAGGGCTCGTGGCGCCTCCTGCAGTGGCTGATCATGCCCGGGTCGATGGGTATCTTGACCTCCCTCACGCTGCTCCTCGTCGCCACCGCCGTAG